TGGCAGCATATTCGTCCCGTGACCAGACTCCTGTTTATGATATAACTAATTTTCAAATGATTGCCTCTTGCAGGCAGATGAAACCCTCAATAGATTTTTTAAGTATGCACACCCACTAACGATTTATGTGCAGACTGCTTCAATCTTTACGTTTGTGAGCGTTTCAATATCGAAAGCCAAAGAAGGAAAAGACAGAGAAAAATTTATTTCTGCGTAACCCTATACATTGTAGTGTGTTGGATATTATTACAATCATCAATAATTGACATAATTGTTATATCATATTACAAGTGAAAAAAGAATTTGTTGCAAACCGAACGTAATTTCTCGATTGCTTTGTTTCGTTTTGTTTTTCGCTTTTTTTTCGATTTGTTACACAATACAAACAAGTTAGTCAGATTTTATTATTTGTCATTGAGCAACATGACGTATACGTAATGTAAGTGAACAACAAAAAGTATTCATGTCACTTCATGCAAACATATATACATTAACATGTTAACTTTGGAAACAGATAATTTACTTATGCAGCCTGCAGCTTCTCAGCGTGCTGAAGTCAAATATAAAATCTGTCGCTCTCTCTTCAGCAATAATTGAAAAGTCTAATTCATTTGTCATTCTTTCTGCGTCTGTGTAAGTCATTGCCATTGGGAGCATTGGTAATAATTGATTCGTCACCTAAATATAAAATGCAATGCATTCACTCATACATATACACGACGTATATGATGTTACATATCAACATAAAATGTTTTTTGTTATTTGACAATTAACTATGATTTGCTTTATTTTTCATGAAGCTTTCAAAAACACTACATGCAATATGAAAAAGGCTAGGAGTACGAAGGGGTATAAGTGCACACACATTTATATGTATGTTTGTGCATACGAAAAGTATTTACTCCTTCTTTATGTTAATTTCCTTTTCAGTTTTTTCTTTTTCTTTATCTTTTTTTTTTTTTTTTTTATAGGAAATTCTTATAAGTTCATATCTGCATGTATCCAGTAAGTCTTATGCATTTGTTTTTGTCGTTTTGTAAAACGTAAAAATTTTGTAAAGAGAGGAGAAAGAGACAGCGGACGGATCCCACTCAAATCCATAGAAAAGATTTATTACACCATTAATTCCACTTTCATCGTTTGCATATGAAAATCGACTCCACCAAATCGTTGTTTTATAATTTTAATCATTTGTTTGTTGGCCAAATTTCATAAGGCATTTATTGTTGTCAAAGCATAGAATAAAAACTAAGTGTAGATATATAAATAGATAGATTTATAAACATGTATGTATATATGAATATACATAAAATATCCTCCATATGTACGTCCATATCTCTATGTATGTATGTATGTATATGTTTGTGTATAGTTAGTTAGTTTGTGTATATTTATATAAACATATGTGATAATTCTGTATCATAGCAGCCGCAAACTGTTTGATGTGTGAAAAATATTTCTATTGCGATCCAGTTTTCAGGCCTATTAAGGAAGGACGAAGATAGACTAGGTAAACCCATCAACGAAGAACGCGGATGTACAGAATCTACATTTGCAAGAGCCTATACAGCCCATTGATCAGAAAAGAGCCCGCATGAAGTCTGTATATAATACGTTCTCAACCAACGTAGTACTTTGAATAATTTTAATTTTGAATAGTTTAGTTTATATAAGAAATTACCTTGTTGTTTTGGATGAATTAAGTTTTTCTGCAATCTCACTAATACTTATGTGTCGATCATCCCTAATCATAACCTTTAGTTGGTCGTAATAAATGGTACTTGGCTTACCAGAATGCGGTAAAGCTTTCATTGAAAATTTGCAAAATGAAATTTTGCAAACCAATTTTCGCAAGTGCTTTCTACTACAAGCACTAGTTCCGCACACAGCACATATAATATATCTCTATGTGCTTCTGCAGCTCTTTTATATTTTTTGAAATAAAAAAAAGTAACATATAGTTTATATGCTCACTTTGATTTTCCACGTCTTACTTACGTCCCACTGCTATAACGCAATCAATCACTTTGAAAGTTTTTTACAAAATGAACACAAGTCTGTTCTACATAGCTATGCATACTTTTAACCCTAACTATCTTTGCTGCTAGATAAAAAAAATTATTTTATTTTTAAGTTTATTTATTATTCCGGACTACCTAATACTAATTGCCTTCAACTAATAATAATTTGTTTTTTTTTCTCGTAAACGTTAAAAGTTTTAAAACGTTATTAAAACGTTTTTTAAGATCGGCAATTTTATCTAAGATGGAATATGATGTGTTGGAAATATTGAAATGGGAAAAAATTTATATCGCAACATATTAGGAATATTACTCCACAATATTCTTTCGACATTGATAAATTGTCATTAACGAAAAAGTTCAGCATTTTGAAAAGCTTTTTATGAAGTTCTTTCCTATAGGACGAAACTGTGATTATTTAGATCTACTTAAGCATGTCTGCCATCACGATATCAGCTCATGTATTTTTGTCTTCAAAATGCAGATCGCAATTTTTAAAATATGTGGAACATATGGAACACTTACATGACATGTGGAACATTAACATGTCTTATCCCCAACATAAACCCTATTGAAAATGGATTGGATCCGAGTATTTTTACGACCACTCCAGATATAACGCCTTATTCAGAAAAAGTCGTCAAATGAAAAAAATTTGCAGTTTCAAACTTTCTCGATAAAACTCGCTAAGTAACAGGAGAAACAATAAATGATAAGATATGTACTATAGCACATATTCAATCACTCAAAAACTAAGATTTTTATATGCTTCCGCTTTGCAAACGTTTAAGAAAACGTGACGTTATATGAAGAAACTATTAACAGACTTTTTGATCATACAAATAATGGAAATGAAAGAGCAAATAATCAAATGGCTACTAATTAACAGCGCTACTACTGTTATTGATAGAGCAAACACAAAAAAGTTCGCGATAATCCATTAGCTTGAATTTAACTAAAAAAACTGGTATCATCTTGTCATTTAGTTGCTTCTGGTAATAGTATTTCCGTAAATTAAATTGACGTGAAAAGTTTGACTGCGATGGACTGATATTTTGAATCCCTCCTATGTAACCTTTTCTACGAAAATTGAGGCTTGATGTAGTCCACTGTAGCAAATTTGCATTATATGGCTTAATTTCTTCACTCTGTATAGGGATTCTTATGAAAAGCAAACATTTGTATGGTAACAAAGTCTTATGTTTAGTATTTGTGGCAAAAATATGTGAATAGTAATAAGGTTCTACGGTAAGAAGATTACTGTTACCGAATTTGGATCTCGTCAGCTCACATTTTTGGGCTTTCTTCTATATAAAAAGTCCAATAAAAAGTATGCTTTTACATACATTGTATTTTATCACGAAACCAAATAAAAAATTGTATTAAGCGAATTTGCACAGAGCACTTAATGATCTTACCTTGCCCAACTAGAAGGTTTTTAAATGTTTTTATTGATTTGGCAACTTGCGAAGCAAGACAGTACTAAAGAAAACCAAAGTTCATCGAAAGGAGATCATAGAAAAATGTTTGTAGTTGAAAAGATTGGATTATTTCAGTAAATAGTCTTTCAACGATTCTCTAATTCGATTATTAAACCTGCGTAGAGCTTTTCCTTCAAAATACAGCGGTTGCTACAATCTTCTTATAAGGAAAAAATACGCTTTCCATATAACAAGGACTTCTAGTAACCCTTCAATTTTAATTGATTCGTTTTTATTGTCAAAGGACTTGATCAAAAACACTTTAATGATTTGATTATTATCGATTATTACCATTTTACCGAATCACAGGTAATACGAATTATCCAGGGAAGACAAGTGTAACAACGGTGTAAGAGGCAACACGGGTTCATAGAAAAATTTGATGAGAATCTCTGCTCCTTATTGACCCCAAACTGGGCACTAAGCCGGGAAAGCAAAGGCGCCCGCAGACAAAGCCGTCCCATGTCAGCAAAACCCCCACACGCTGACCTCCACAACTAGCCGCGATAAGCTAAGAATTCGAAGATGGCAACAAAAATATTAAATGTTAAATCACTCGAAAAATAGCTTGATATCAAAGCAAAAATAATTCCTAACGGGCGCAATTGAATGGAAATAATTCAACATATATGTGAATTATATAAAATCAGATATGCTTGACTTAACAGAACATGGAGTCATCTCAATCTCATGGATAATAAAAGGCGATCTAGTGTTTTGTCAAACAAATGTATTGCAATAAAAACTTGTTACCGATATGCTAGGAAGGCTACAGTTAACAGGAAGAAAAGGCACGTTCCCAAGCAATGTTGCTGCTTTTTGTGCTATTAAATCTCGTTTTTGAGATGAATTCAATGGTCGATCAACGGTTCTCGCTATCAATCTACCGTACGATCCAAAGGACAAAAGCGTTACGATCAGATTTTGGCTAGGTACTACTAGATTACTTTTGTTAACGGGGATTCGGTTAATATTGTTTGACAGCGAAAGAGCGTTTGATCGATATCGAATGCTAAATGTCATGTTTTATCCCGGCAATGAATAGTCAAATGGAAAAATAATAAATTCAAACAATGATTTTGCTTTTACTTGGTATCGAATGCATAATCGACTCCAAAATCTTTTCGGCAATGTTGGTTTGTGAGTTTATATGAGTCGATGCTATCGAGTCGAATAAAGTTTTTAAATCGGACAAAACACAGGGGTAATCATACAAGCAGACGGCAATGAATTAGGCGATTATCGCCCAGAGAATCTAACCATGTACGCAAAATTTCTGGGCAATTATCCGCTAATGCGCTGTCTCAATTGCGCCAAATCCGGCGACAATAAAATTGCTATTGCTGAGAACACATTTGCGTTAGTATTAGGTATAAAGCAAACAAAGTTACCTCAAATTTAGAGTTGCATTTGTAAAAAATCAGCCGCAAAAGAAAAACGCAAACAGATGTTAGAGAATGAGCTATTAATTCAAAAATTAAAAAAAAACTTTATTAACTGTATCCGAAATTACATTTGTGAAATGTAACTGACAAGAATTAAAAATTTAGTAAGAGTAAGTACAATTTTTTTTACCGTTGAGCTAAATTAAGCAAAGGTAACCAATGTGTACATGTCCAGCAAAATGTATCGTAACTTCCTTTTATGCTCGATCATGAAAGAGAAGAACAATGACAATGACGCAACGTATAAGAAAGGATCACCATGAGACGGACAAGGAAGGCTCTGCGTGATATTTCTGACCTCCTGCTCCTCAAAACGAGTAAGTAAATTGTTTCTAATGTTTACAAACAACGTATAAATATATTTTATATCGTTGTATGCAGATTTATGCAAAACTTCCGCGTTTGCAAGTCGAATTTTCATTACCTATTGGGGAAAATTGGTATGAGTGGCGGTATGAGGAGTACATACTTACCGTGTTGGTATGTATGTTGCGCTGCGCGTTGTGGTGTTGCGCTTAGTCATGACTTTAGAGTTGTTGGCTTCAGAAGCTTACCAATGGGTGGCCTGCGGCTATCATACCATAAGTGTTGCACAAAGCATGTTGTCAACCGTTGTCTCAAAGGTGTTACAAGATTTGGAAACAAAACTTCTGTATCCACTTCTTCTACTTTTATATTTTCTTTTTTTCCGGTGGTGGATACCGCCTGGAACATTGGCTGACGACGCCTTATCGAAGTTCGGCGAATCCCCAAAGGAAAATACAACGAAATTCATCCCAAAGTTCCCTTTGGGGGAAAGTGCACTGGTATGTATAAATGTTAATATTACAGTATTTAGTATTTCGAAAATTTTACTACAGTTCTCGAACGTTTATCTAGGTCGCTGGCATATTTTACAGGAAAAGCGGAAGAAGCGGTATAGCTCAAAAGAACTGAGAAGAATCGCAAACGTTTGTTTGCGTGAGATCATTTGAACTCTCCAGCATTATAGCAACCTATGAAGATGATAGTATTGATGTTTCTGTGAAGGTACCGCAATTAAGCCAGTTGGGTGCACAAGTTAAAGAATTGCTGCAAAGAAATTTATAAAATAACAATTTATGAAACAACAATCTTAAAAATATAAATAATTTGTAAGCTCGCACAAAAATTTACACAAAATTAAATACTTATTGAAAGTAAAACTTCGTATTTCCTGGATCTTTTCTTTATTTGTTCATATATAAACGTAAAACAACAAATATTTGGCATACAGGAACGGAAGAGAAAATTTAATATAATGATGGAGAAGACATTATTTATATAAATTAACCTGTAAGAAAATATTATCTGAAAATCTATAAAAAAGAATGTATAACAATTAACTTTTTCTGCAAAAGAAAATGTAAGAATTTAAACACTGAATTTAACTTTACTTTTTTCAGTTTTTGAATTCTAACCATTTTCTCTTCACTTCATTTTGTACACTAGCTCTCGTTTAGCATGTGCGGTTTGTTGTACAAAGCAAAAAACGACGATGGTATCTGGTTAACGCCTTGGCGATAAGCAATTGTCTCCTAAAAAAAACCAGGCGATGATAGCCTGCTTACATGCTTACTTTGTCAATTTTTGATGCGGACATAGGATCAAAAACATATAATACGCGAAGAGAATAAGGAATTTTATTTTGCAACTAATTACTAATTATATTATTTATTGTAGCTTTCCAGTATACGTAAGCTAAACATACGTTCAAAATATAATATATTATATTGTAAGAACACCATTTATGTGTATAAATGATTGAAATGAATGGTTCTTTTGCTGAAATTTCTTCAAGTTTATAATGTTTTCTTTTTTTTTTTTTTTTTTTTGGTATATTGAATAAAGATGGACTAAGCCAATAGATTTGTGGCTTATATGTCCAAAAGTTTATAATCAATAAAAGTTGCATTTTACGACGCCATATGAAGCAAACATATGTTAGCTGTTTTTATTTTGTTTGTAATCCGTTGGTAAAGAAACAAACATATGTAAGAGGAATAATCTTTATATTTATAAATAACGGAGAACTTTTATTTTGTTAAACTTCGGAAGAATTTATTAATATTCTTAAACTTTCTGATATTATGAAATAATTGGTAAAATGAAATTAACTAATAATAAGTAAATGAATGAATTTGTAAAGCTTTATAAGTCAAAATTATGCTAATTATTAACATCTCTGTTCCTTCTTTGCTTTAAAATAAAGCACAACAAGCACAGCTGTTTACATTATAAACAAAAAAAGCGTGTTTTTTCGTTCGTATGAAAGTTAATTAATCAAAAAAAAAAGATGGGTAAAAAAGTCTTCAACGCTAAAGCTCGACAAAACCGTAAAGCAATTATCGACAATTCTGTATTAAACGATGTAGGTTTTTTCATGAGATAAATCCTAACTCAACCATCGGATTATAATCCTTTATTCTCTTATTCCCGACTATAGATTAAAATTGATTTAGAAGTCCTAAATGCGAATTCTACAAGTTACGATGAAGCAAATGCTTTGGTCTTGCCTTCGAAAAAGCGTGTAACGCAGTCTAAAGAGGAACGTAAGCAAGGCATTAAGATATTGTCCAAGAAACAACGGAAACGTCTACAGACCATCGTAGATAAGAAAAAGAAAAAGGGAGAGGTAATAAATGAACTGCGAAGGGAAGAATCGAACTAAGTTAACCCTCCGCAAGTTCTAATTAGTGCGTTCATTGACGCATTTGTTTTGAGATGAATTTTTTTGCCTTTGCAGCGTTGTGAACTTTTGGAAGCTTTGGCTAATGTTCAAGTACCTGCCACAGAGTTGAACCAATACACATCCATTAGTCAAGTGCAAACGATTGGAGTTAAAAAGTTATCAATACTAGATAAGTTATTGACTAAAAAATCACAAGGGCAACAGCAAGCACAATTACCTAACAAGCTAAAATCGTTAAAGGGCGCCACTAAAAGAAAGCTTTTGATCGAAACGCATTCAAAATTAGAGACAAAACGTAAGAACCCGAATTATGTAGGATTAGAAGATGACGATGACACAGAAAGTGTGTGCGTCGAAGCCGAAGAAAAGAAAGATCAAATCGGCGAAGATGCGAAATGCGCCACTGAAGACATACCACGAAATAATGAAAAGAAAGGCACTGAAACTAAACTTTATGAGGACACTAACAAAAGAGCAGAATCAAAAATGAACCGGGAGGAAGTAGAGAAAACAAAGGTAGTGGCATCAAGGCCTGCAGTTTTCGTACCTGTTCATAGAGATTCAAAAATCCAAGCTGCCCGTTTGAAATTGCCTATACTGGCCGAAGAGCAGCAGATTATGGAGTTAATCAATGAAAATAACATCATCATAGTGGTAGGAGAAACGGGTTCAGGCAAGACAACGCAAATCCCCCAATTTCTTTACGAGGCTGGTTATACAAAACACGGCCAAATGATTGGCGTCACAGAACCACGCAGAGTGGCAGCCATAGCCATGTCTACACGCGTAGCTAAAGAAATGAATCTAAGCGAGAAGAAGGTTTCCTACCTAATACGTTTCGAAGGAAATGTTACGCCGGAAACAGAAATCAAATTCATGACTGATGGAGTCTTGTTAAAAGAAATAGAATCCGATTTCTTATTAAAAAAGTATTCAGTCATCATATTAGATGAAGCTCATGAACGTAGTGCGTACACGGATATATTAATAGGGTTATTATCCCGTATAGTACCCCTGCGCTTGAAACGCGGTAGCACTCCTCTGAAATTGATTATAATGTCAGCTACATTGAGAGTAGAGGATTTCATTAGTAATACGAAATTATTTAGAAACCCTCCTGCTCTGCTTAAAGTAGAGACCCGACAATACCCAGTGACCGTGCACTTTCAAAAACACACTCCAACTAATTACATTGAGGAAGCCTTTAGGAAGACAGTGAAGGTGCATACAAAGCTTCCCGAGGGCGGTGTTTTGATATTTGTTACTGGACAACAAGAAGTCAGACAACTGGTAAGAAAGCTAAAGAGAACGTTCCCGTATAAGAGAAACGAAGAAGATGTAAGAAAAGAACTGAAAGATGAAAAGTTGGAGGAGAATGTTCCAGAGGAAGAATTTGATATGAAGCATGCTATACGCAGTGTACGGAAGTCTAAAAAAAAATTTCTCAATCATTTAGCACTGCCAAAAATCAATTTGGACGATTTTAAACTACCAGGTGATGATACTGAAGCGGACCTTCTAGAAAATCCACAGTCCGATCAAAGTGATGAACTAGAACTTGATAATGAAGAAGATAATGGACTGCCATTTTTGGACGGCAAATCCTCAATTACTAAAGAGCCCCTTTTTGTTTTGCCATTATATTCCTTATTGTCTGCAGAGAAACAAAACAGAATATTTCAACCACCACCTGAGGGTTGCAGGCTTTGCGTAGTAGCAACCAATATAGCTGAAACATCATTAACTATACCGAACATAAAATATGTGATTGACACAGGTCGTCAAAAGACGCGTTGGTATGATAAGATAACAGGTGTGAGTGCTTTCGTTGTGACTTTTACCTCAAAAGCTTCAGCAGACCAAAGAGCTGGCCGAGCCGGTCGTGTCAATGCCGGTCATTGTTATCGTCTATATTCGAGTGCTGTTTATAAAGACGAATTCACAGATTTTTCCATACCCGACATACAACAAAAGCCAGTTGATGATTTAATGCTTCAAATGCGTTGTATGGGTATTGATCGGGTAATAAATTTCCCATTTCCTTCTCCGCCAGACGAGGTACAATTAAAGGCCGCTGAAAGAAGACTAATTATCTTGGGAGCGTTAGAGTCTTTACCAAAACAAAATAGTACTTTGGCAAAAAACCTTCCACCGAAAATAACTCGTTTAGGCCGGGTCATTTCTCATTTTCCTGTGGCACCTCGCTTTGGCAAAATGTTAGCCTTATCGCATCAAAAAAATTTATTACCATATACCGTATGTTTAGTGGCGGCGCTTTCTGTGCAAGAAGTCCTTTTAGAAATTAACCCTGAAAATTTTGCGGATTTTCCGATAACTAGCAACAAATGGAAAAAGAAACGTTTGTCATGGGCTCCTACGGGAAATTATCAACTTCTTGGAGACCTCATGGTCTTACTAAGAGGTGTTGGAGCTGCTGAATACGCCGGATGTAAGGGCGAACTTTCACGCTTTTGTTCAGACAACGGTTTGCGTTTGAAAGCCATTACCGAAATACGTAAACTACGCATACAACTTACAAACGAAATTAATTTGAACATAGCTGATATTGATTTGTGCGTAGACCCAGCTATGCCACCGCCAACTGACAGTCAAGCGCGCTTCCTTCGGCAGATTCTTTTAGCTGGTATGGGCGATAGGGTGGCGCGAAAAATTCCACTAAACGATATTAGCGATAAAGATGAAAGACACCGTCTCAAATATGCTTACAATTGTTTGGATATGGAGGAGCCAGTATTTATGCACTCTTCATCCGTATTAAAATCAAAGTTGCCGGATTGGATTATCTACCAAGAAGCTTATGAGACTCTAAATGCCGATAGCACTAAAATATTCATTCGTGGCATAACAGCCATCGAACCTGAATGGTTACTGATATATGTTCCTTTACTTTGCAATGTCAAGGCGATAAGAGAAGATCCACTGCCGCGCTATAAAGCTGAGGAAGGCAAAATCTATTGTTTCGTTGATGCCACTTACGGTAAAAGTGCTTGGGAGTTGCCATTAACTGAAATGGAAATGCCCATAAGTGAAAGAGCCTTTGGGTGAGTAAACTATACGTTCAACTTTCTTTAATTCACTACTAAGAATTTTATTATTCCGGTTGTAATCAACACTAACCTGCAAAGCATAAATAATCTATATCCTTCCAGCTATTTCGCCATGTTTTTCTTAGATGGCCAAGTATGTTCCCGCCTAAGTGCCTATAAAGCTAAATTAAAATTTACTCCGTCAGCTATCATAAAAAGTTGGTCAAATCTCAATCAGTCGATTGTTCGGTTTAAGCTTGCTTTTAGTAACAAACAAATCAATACACGACAAAAACTGAAAGAAGAATGGCAAGAAAATCCCAATTGTAAGTAAATATTAGTTAATTCTTACTCCACCTTAGGTATATATTCCTAGCTTTTCCCGTTCACTTATCCGTTCATCTCGTATAGAAGGAATCATTGTGATGGAAATTAAGATAGTAAGCTGAAATTCTCAATTCATAACCATAGATTAAAATGAAAATAGCCGTGATACGTTCTATTAAAAACTACAACTTATAGTTAATAAGAAGAAATATTGACCTGAAACCCCTTTACATATATTTCTCTTTCACCAAAATGTGCAGCACACATTGGTTTGAAATAGTGCATCTTAAAGATTCGTTCCGATACGAACAATATTTATTATTATTATTATTGCGGCTATAATTAGTTTAGCGAGAAAAACAAATTCCAAGAGTAAAATCTTAAACATAAGCACCTGTCGGCTTTATTGAAAGCTCTACTGTATTTGAGATTTGAACTCGCAACCATTTAGTTATTACGAATATTACATATTTTTTGCTTACTTTCCTACATTGTCTCAAAAATGTTAATGAATTTTACAATTTTCATTTTTTATTATTTATTTTATATCTTTTCACAGTCTTGTTAGAAGAATACCACAATGTGCTCTACGACGTATCTTTATACGAATTGATTTCTATATGGCCTCCCGCATGAAACTGCAAGTCTTAAGTGAAAAGAATACCACTTTATAAATAAATTGGACTAATTTATTTTTATTTTCATGCGTTATGTATTTTACTTGTTCAAAAGTAAAATAAAAACACAACTCATCGATCATCATAAAGTCACACCCACGTTTATAAATTGGCAAGCGCATGTAGATTCTCACTTCAAGTTAGCTGAACAGACGAAATTGTGGAGTTTTATATACCTGAATATAAGAAGCCATTATTATTCATAAGAATCCAATAATTTTCATTCATCGTTTACATATACTTTAATCTTCAAATATATGTAAAATACTTTTCTGTTTGATTTTTTTTAAAGATTTTTACGTCTTACTATGATTTATATAGCGATGTTTCATTTAAGGACATTTTTTAATGGGTAGAGCTTTTCCGATGTTATAAAAAATGAATAGTCGAGGAATATTAGCCAGATTGGTTGACGAATGCATCTGCAGTGCAACGTAAACAGTGAACAGCTATGTTTCTCAAAAGGAATAAAAAATTGCGTTTTTGCTCATTACTCATGAACTACAACAGATAAATTTGCAAAAATTTGAACATGCGTCCTATACAAAATTAGGAAAAATTTGCCACGTCTACCCAATATTATAGTACATTAAAGTTTAATTTCTTTTTTTCAATATCTTTATAACGCACAGAAACAAACTCCAGAAACCTAGTAAAGTATATAAATTTTCAGCTAATTTTTAAATTTGGAATGCGCCTAAGCATATCCATCTGTTCGTCTGCCGAAGTATACAGTGTCTGTGGTACACATTTTCCTGCTCGGCAAAATGTATGTAAGTATAAATTAAATAAAAGAAGTCCTAAATGGCTGTCTTGAGGGTCGTCAGACGTCGTGGGAAATTCATCCGAGACGATGAAGATAAGCATAACCCTGAATGATCTATTATGAAGATAAGAACTTATCTACTTCAGTAAGTAGAAAGGAAAGCCAGAGGCATAGAGTTTGAAGACCAATAAGTTATGGTTAACTAAATCGAACGCTTTACTAAAATCAGCACATACAACATCCGTACGTGAGCCATGAAAACATGGCGAGTAAACTCTAACAGATTGGTGACCGTAGATCCTTCTTTCCGAAGCCATGCTGGAATGGAGGAATAAAAGGTTTAATAGCAAAAGCTAAATGCTGAGTAATAATGTGTTCAAACAGTTAACATAAAACACTCAACTTGGCGATGTTCTCAACGTGATGTCTATTTCCACATTTGTGAATTGGAATAAGCGATTTACTCTTCCAAAACAAAATTAAAACACCTGATTTCAAGAACAGATTAAAAATCATTGAAATAACACAACATAATTCGACAGAGCATGTTTTAAGTATACATGGTGGAAAGACCATTAGGTGCAGGCGCAGAACTATATTTTAGAGACCTTAAACCATCTAAAACATCATTTTCTGAAATGACCGAGTTAGGAATCAAAACTGAGTTAGATACCGGATACGGATATTCGACAGTTGAATCAAAATTAGCAGTTGAAAAATTTCGTGAGAAGTAGTCAACAAAGAGATTCGTGATTTCAATATTATCAGAGTACTCAGAGGACTGTAAGCGATATGTGAATATTTCTTCTTCTGCAATTGACAAACTTAAAAAAATATTTAGGGTTAACAAGCAATGATGCAGAATAGCATAAGTAGAACCACTTTTCATAAATTTTTGTTTTTTTTGTAATATTTAATTGTCTTATTAAAACATGGCGGGCACTTGCTTTGAGGGCAAGGTTGCTTGATCGGAACGGATTCAGAAATAGCTAGTTCATTATAGAACGAAAACAGTAAGGTTTCAATATTTCAAACAGAGAAATTAAGCACAATGTGTGAAAGATGCGATTTAAGCAGTAAAATATAAATTTTGTTAAAATCATAATATGTTTTGGAACAAGTGGGATTTGGCACATTAGAGTAGTTCAAGGGACCATCATACCTGTATTAAAAGAAAATACAAATTGCTGTATGATACGGATCCACAGGTAAACTAAAAGGTGAACAACGACTTACAACTATCTGCGAAAAGATGGCAAAGCAAAGATCCAACAGTCTGCCATTACAGTTAGGAGTTGTATTGCAGTAAATTATGAGCAAATAATTCATTGAAAAACACAATAGCTCTATCAGATGTTAAAGTGGGGAGCAAACAGCCAGAATTATCACTATAGCACCAAGTGATTTGTGGCAAATTGACCTTCTCCAACGCTGTGACTATATCAGTAGATTTTGACTTCTGTAGCAGCAAGATACGAATAACTGTTTATTGGCCATTTCCGCCAGAATGGCAATAAATTAAACGTCAGGATAAATAGGAAATTCAATTGAATAGGAAAGGACGGCAACAAACATGGCCAGTGCGGTCCAATCATTCCTTTCTCAAAACCTGGAAAGAATTGTAAAAAAGTTCTTACGAATCTAAATCAGGTTTTGACCTAGTTTCAGTGAACGCTAAGCAGGAAACCTTCACGGTCACTGAATTCTGGAAAGTAGATCGAATTTTTAAGTAAAGATCCCTAACATTTTCGTAAATGAAAGCTACTGGACCTGAAGAAACATTTAGTTTTTCGAGGGTGTAAGAGCTACCGAATTAGTTACACGGAATTGATCCTGAGAAATGAATTGCTCAATTAAGTCTCCAACTGGCTGCAGCGGTTTGTGTAGCAAAATTTCCATATATTCATTCGGAATTAATATTTTGAAAGACGGTATCGCTCTAGGTTGAGATGAAGCCAATTTGAAAATGCTTACACGCTTCTAATTGACGGGTGGGACCTTTGCAGCCAGATAACTTTTTATCCACAGAAGTCTCAAACACCAATCTTGACACGAATATTGCATTTCTGGAGAGTACAATCGAAAAACAGACGTCATCCCTATCAGGAACGAAAGCATATGCAAGTAGAGAATATAGATGGGGTATAGATGGGCACTTGCATGTGTAGCTTGTGCGACTTGCCCAGCATGGTGACCAGCGGACACACCCAAACAGCCAGGGGGAGAGACGGATTCGTTATTCTTACTAAGGAGATACACTTGCCACTTTAGAGTAGCTAGAAAGAAGAGGGTTTGCCAAGTTATTTGGAACTTTTTTATTAGCGGCCAACTCAATGATAGCGGAAACGCCAACGTTCTTTGTGGGCAGGGAAGGAGCACTCACATGGGTCGACGAATCCGATTTAGGCGGAGACGGTACCACACGCTGCGCGGCGAGTCGGTGTTGTGCAAGCTGGGGGAGAGCATGAGTGCTCTACATAACGGAACCGATTGAACATTGACTTGATTTTTTCAAATTTCCCACACAAAGTAACGAGATCTTTGCTTAGTTCAGAGAACCCAATCCATGTCTACGTGGATAGCTTATAAAAGTTAATATCCCGTTTCCTAGAGTCGAAATATGCCCAACGTAAACTTTTCGAAGGATCAAGGACTGCATCAGCAACACGGCTATTGATACCTGCACACTTCGCATGACATCAGTGTTCACGATGGCAACGGGCAACGAATCGTTCAGATTCACGGCTCGTTTTTGTTCGACATGATGTAGAAAACACTCCGTGTCAAAAAGTCACAGACAAGAAATTAAAGAGAGGAGAGATTGCGAAAAAAGACAAAAAAAGGTTCCTTCGCATACAAAAGTTATCTCTCAAATTTAACGTAAACTTCACACTACTAAAGACGCAGTAAGTAAAGAGCAAGCCAAGTGAAAAAACTGAACACACGCAAAAAAAAACAAACAAGAAAGAGACTTACTAATCGCAAAAATCAAATCGAATATTACGACAAAAAGGTCAATATAATTCAATTAATTTAAACACTTTTATACTTTATGATCAATTATTCTTTAAACGCGTATAGAACTATGAACCAATAAGACAAGGAAAAAAATTGTAAAATTTCTTCGCACAACGTAAAACCGTACGACTACAACGTACGCGCAGAGTTGCCAAACTTTATCAAAGAATGATATGATGGGAGAGGCAAAGATTCTGAAAGGAATTTCAAAATTTTATCTTATTTGAAACTTCAAAAATATACAAAATTCCAACTTTAAAAAAAATTGCATTGCAATTGCGTTTTTAGAACATTTAAGATTCAAAAGGCATTTTTCAATATTTAATCGTCTCTACGGTTTATATTTTAATAAATGAAAGTCGTCTATATTTTTGCATATATATATATATATATATATATATGCAAAAATATACCAATTTTGTTTAACTGACTTTTATCAATTTATAGACTTGAATTTTATATATATATATATATCTTACATCTTTTGTTTAGTTATTTTGTTCTTTTTTTTTTTTGTGAATACCAAAAAAGGAAAATAGATTATAATAGGAGGATAATAACTTTTATACAATCTTTTATGCCTTACAGTTGTTCTTTATATAAATTTCTTTTTTGTACACATTTATATACAAAGTTTAGTGAGAACCTAATCAAAATTCTATATTTTTTATAAATTGTGGGGGATTTTTGCTTTTTAAATTAAAATAAAATTTTTTCTTAAAGCTTATAAGGTTAAATAATTTAAATTAAGAAATTAAAAAATAAATAGTTTTCATTTCTTTACTCAAAAAAACCAGCACTAATAAGCCATTATGTTAGCTCTAGAAATCGGTTTGGAATTTGTTTATTCCGCAAATTCAATAAGAAAGACAAAAAAAGCTCTCTTCTCTTTAATTCACTTAACAAGCATGTGACATTTGCATAACAAATAAACTTCTTGGGAATCGGATAAATAAGAGGGTGTAGTGGCAACAGATATAAATTAAAAATGATTATCGTTTTAGATTGTGTCTCGAAGTTCTACCAAATCGTAATTATACATGAAAATTACAAAATATTTTACGTACTGTAAACAAGCCAGTTAGCCAATCGCGACTAGTGTTTTCCACTAGCTAGGTGGGTGGCTCTGGAAAATTAAGCCTGTTATTAATTGTGAGAGTTTCAAATATTTGGTCTGTTTTATTGTTTTTGTTTTCCAACAGCGCTTAGGTCATCGAAAGGACTGTGCGAACATAACTAAATCGACTCATAACTTAAGGCTGATTTTAAATATATTAACTTGATAGGGTCTCCACAGAACAAACATAATCTATTGAGTCAATCTTATGTGCAGGGTATGAAAATAACTAAAATAGCCATTTTTCTTCATATATTCACCACCCGAATAAGCATGACACTACTTTGGGAAGATTGATCATATTGCTTGAACGATGATGACAACCTTTGCTTCGAACCATAAATGAATTGTGTTAAACATGAGTTCTAAGCTTTAAGCAGATTTCTATAGATTTTAATTTTTTTAATTATTGTACGCGTGTAGTTGATGATCAACTATTTAAATTTGTGAGACCATATTAACATTAACTACGCGTTATTAACGGACAGACATAATTAACCCGACAACTAACCAATACATATGTTCTATATATAAATGCATCATAAGTAAGCATAGATGTCCTGATTATTATAGAAAGAATTTAAAAACTCTTATACTTTTGCAATTTCGATGTTGGGATTGAAAATAAAATATTTTTTAATATTAATGTTTAGAATTTAATTTCGCTTTATAATATAAAGAAAAACTTGCACCCGTTGCTTGTTACAAATTTATATCATTTATGTTTCCATAGGTGCGTGATTATTTTATATCTTATTTACAATTAATATTTATTAATAAACTGATATGCTTTGCTTAACAATTAAAATGTACTTTTAAACTATTTGAGAAAAATATTTTAAGAAAATATTAAACAAATAATAGTAATAATAATAACAACAGACCATCCAAACTCTTTTGCATTTTTAACTCCTACGATTGCATCATCAATTTGAATTTGTTTCGAGTTAAATTAGAAAGATTTTGTATTAGAAATCGATCCTATCTATATCATGTCAAATATAAAATATGTATGAAAAAAAATTCGAAGATACGCAATCTACACACGTTATGTTAAGACATTTATGAATTAATTAATATTCGGGAGAAATTTTAAATCGACACAACTATTGGAAGTTATTAAAGAAAACCCTTTAATTTGATCTGTTCGATTTCTCGGATGTCATTAAAGGCAATCTCAGGTCGTTTTAAAATTTGTGGAAATGATGTATTTGATGTGTTGACGCGAGTTTCAACAGCAGAAGGAAAGAATGACGTATAGATTAATCAGATCAAAATTCTTTTATTTTATAAAAGCTGGAAGCAAATATCTACGGGTCTGTTGACAGACACGGAAATGTTTGACTTCGCCTTAATATTTCTAAGAATATATTTTCGAGTGGTTTCACGAAGTTAGTTTCCATCCAAGTCTTCTAAATATTTATTAGGTTTTTAAAAAAATATTAAGTTTAATATTAGAGGCATTATGTGAAGATAAGTTCAACAAATGAAATAAATATTGATAGCAGGAGTTTCCAAGCCTCAATATTTTCGACAACACCAGACTTGAGTGTACTATCGAATGAACTTTAGTCTATCAATGACACGAAATCGTTCATAAAATTTCGTGTCGTGCCATCGAACTAAAAATATGTGTACTTGGAAGTCGGCGCAACGTACAATGTCTAAGTGATCAAACAAGTTGTACGACAGAAAAATATATATAAATTAAAAATATTTTTGTTTAATGTAGTTGGCCGACCAGGATGTGATCGTGAGAAGATTACGCCTATCTTCAAATTGCGTCATATTTTAATTTCTCTGGGCGCCGCTGATGAGCGGATCGACAGAAATGCGCAATTTAACTTTGAATCTACCACTATTCGAAAATATATACAGGTATACAAAAGATAATGCGAATTTTTCAATGCTATAACAGAAATAATCAATCTGGCATATTGGGGGATACGGGTGATTCGGGAAAAACGATAACACTTGGAAGAATATGGTAGAGTAAAGACGTGTGTATTTAATTCGATTTTCGTCAAAACTGGTGACGGTCAATTGCACTGGAATAACTATATGAAATGTTGCTTTTTTGTAACTCTTTCTTTTATATATAAATTAGTTAATATTTGGCTATTTATTTAAAGATAATATATATGTATATACATGTTGTTTATAACATAAATTTAACTATTTTATGCTTTGTTTTCAATGATTTCTTTCTTTATTACTTGAGTTATCTTCAATTTCTTTTATCTTTTATTAATTTTCAAATATAACTGCTTTTTTTCTTCAATAAGTTATTTGAATGTATATGCATAGGTACATATATTCTTAATATACACATATGCATACATATATATATATTTGTGAATTGTTTATGTTTTGTATGTGTATGAGTGCGTAATATTTCTTTTTTTTATAATATAAAAATCAGTCTAGTTATGTAAGGCAACATGAGAGCTTGTGTATATATTTTTATATTTGCTTTACTTAAAACTACGGTACATATGGGTTTTATTTAATAATTATTAATAATGAATTTTATAAATAACAACAATTTCTTTTTAAATTTTTAACTGAAAGTATTTTGTCTTCATTATTTGTTTACATTTTTTAAATTTATATACACAACATGATATTGTATTGTATATAACAGCTATATATATATATATATATATATATATATATATATATATATATATATTTTAAACACATATATATATAAATATGTTTGTGTGTTTAAAACATATATATATATTATACAATAATTATTAAATTCCGTTTTAATCTATAGATGTTTTGCACGATTTTTCCAGAGTTTCTCTTGTTAAAATGTCTTATTTTATAATGCTTTTACAGTTCAAGATTTTCTCTCATGATTGATAAAGTGACATCAGCGTATACGAGTAAAAACGTAAGAATTTGAAAGAAAGTTGCTTGCATTCGGTACTTCAAACTAAGGATATGAACACCCCTACATTATTCTTGATTAATTTCAAAAATTTATTCATCTTAGATATTTTAGGACACTTATGAGATTATAGGGCTGCAGGAACCCTTGTAAATGCTAAACTTCACTAGTTTCATTAGCGTCTTTAGCAACAATAACAGTAAAATTGTCATCATTATTCTCAGTAATCAGATCGCTTTTCAAATTAATAACTTCAATCGTCGACCCATCACCGATATCGGTTAATGCATTCACTACTTCGTTGACAATTTCCTCAACAATATCATCACTTGCAGGGCTTATGGAATCGATATTATTTTGATTTTCGCTTTCTTCCAATTTTTTAAGTATACACTCGTCTTTTTCTTTGCTTTCTACGTGTAGTTGTTCTTGTTCTTTGAGATCTACTCTGTCGCAATCTTCCGTTACATCTTCTTTATTACCTTGTTCCTCGTTTTCATCTTTATCCTTCTTTTCGGTAATTTGTTTCCACATATTTAAAAAGTTTTCATGTCTTTGCATTTCCAAACGCAATAAATCACTTTCATCTTCTGAACTACTGCTACTTACCGCCTGAATTTTAGCTTTGGCTCCTGCACAAGAAGAACTAGTACTTGTGATAACCCGAACTTGTTCGCTTGCACCAGTAGCCGCTAGTTGTGATGTTGGCGACTCCAGACTACTACCCAATATAGGCGTTAATTGTTGCTGTAATTGTCGTATTTCTAAGAGCTCCCTTTGTAATGAGCTGCGCCGTGTTCGTTCAATATCCTTCTGGTTATTATCTGCGATTTGTTTGAAGGGTCTCAAACCATTCTCAGCCACGGGCACATAGTATTCACCGATTTCAATCAGGTACAAATCGCGATTAATTATTGATCGGCAAACAACGTCAGGGTTGTTTGGTGTCCATATGTGAACCACAACCCCTACCATACCGGTGTGTGGTAGCCAACCCTTCCAATTTGCACGACCACCGCGCATACGCATAGCTTCGTAAGGCCAAACAAAATTGCGTCGCTCGTCAAGGCCGTCATAAATCTGAAATAAACAAAGACCATTAAAAATTTAGATACTTTTTCAGAGAAAACACAAATTTACCTCATGCTCGTCAACTATTATAACCTTCTCGAACAAACCAATTCTGGGCTTACATGGCAGTTCAGTAGCGCTACGCAGGGAGCTATTAGATTCGGCGTTTACCGCAGTTGAACTATTACCTATTTGTGGCAACATTCCAGCCGCTGCTGCTGTCAAACAAATAGGGCCTTTGGTTTTACGTGGGTAATCTCCGGGAGTGGTTATAATATTACCAATACCTAGATTCCCTGAAGAACAATAGATTTTTGTGTAGCGTGGGCTGTTACCACATGCGGTGGAGCCACCTCCACCAACGCCTCCTAAACCCATGCTATCTGTGGATGTATCCTTGTCTAGCGTCTGTGATGAGTCACCCGAATCTTTGTTTGCTTCGGGAAGAACGGAACTTGTACTGGCAATAGGTAGAGTCGCTCTTCGCTCTCGATCGCTACGACTACTGGAACTTGAAAGCTGTCCCTTATTCGCAAAACTGCGTGTCTCACGTAGCAATTCTTGATCACGACTGAGGAATCCAGCCAGCAACGTGGTAGAATTAGGTTTAATTGCCACACTGCGCATGGAAGCGAGACCGTCACTACCAAATTGACTGCTAAGTGTGGCACCAGGTACGCCGGCAGCAGTAGCAGGACGTCCAAACATACCAACCGTTAAGGTGTTGTAAATTGGCGGAGATATGTATACTGGTCGGAGATCACCACTTTCCCCCAGATTACTACAAGCGGTGGAAGGTAAGCCGAGATGAGCAGTCTCCATAGCTGAACCTGATGAACAGCCCTGACGACACTTTTCCCTTATGTGATGCCACCATTGAAATATATTGCCTTTGATGGCCTCAGGGGTAATAGGACCCCCAATAATTTCCTTCAACTGCTCATTGGTATCGGCGTAGGAAGTAGTTAATGGTGAAACATAAATAGGATAACCAATAGGTTGATCACAGCTCGAATTGATAATGTTACGTAAAGCTTGTTTCGCATTTTGTATACTGCCTCGTTCCGGATTACGGTTACGTAGATAAATAAGTTCCTGCTGCTGTCCCGCCCACAAGCCACGAACGCATTCACGATTCAATTTGATAACACGAAAGGTAAGAAATCGTTTAGTCAGACGTATGATACGATATTCATCAGAACCATCTTCCATGACATGACGCAGGGCTAACAAATTAGGAGCTCCTCTCAGCACAGCGCTGCGCCAAACGGGATCTGCTTCATGAGAAATAACCAAATCTTTAGCACAAGAATCAATCGCTTCATACAGAGCTAAAGGCTCACGAAATTCATCAGGGTTCGAAATATGATCTTGTTGTAGTTTCAAAGCCATTTTAACGGCTGGTGCTATAACATTATGTAAAAGATCCATATCAGCAAAAACCCATTCATCACGAGGTGAAGTAATGCGAAAATCTCCTTTGAATAACGCATGCAAACCGTGAAGAAAAAACTCTACACCCGTTAAGGAACTATGAGAGGCAGTAGCTAAAGAACGGCGAGCTAAGAGTCCTAATGCTAAACACAACGATACTATAGGATGATCTTTGGCAATGGAAGGTACCTTTAACTTAATTGGAGGTGGTTTTTCGCTACCAGCACGGGAAGATTCCGTAGAACCACTCCGTACATCATGACGCGGGGATGAAGCGGCTTCGTCACGTTGGCGTGAATGTTTCCCGCCAACGGGCGCTGACTTACTGGAACGTGTCAGCAGCGTGCTATTTAAACCGGGAACACTTTCCGATGCTTGACGGGAAATATTTGCCAACGAGTGGGAAGTGGCCATATTTTCAGTGGAATTGGCTACTACTCCTTCCCTGCTACTAGTCATAGTAGCGCTTTTCTGCGGTTTTATACGTAATTGTTGCTGGGATAAAGATTTTTGTTGTATAACAGAGAGATTTGGCGTACTAGCTGCCGTAACAGAGGCAGTGTTTCCAGTTGTAGTAGCAGCAGCTGTAGGAACCGTTGTGCGCTGCTGTGTAGTAACTGTTGACTGGGTAGGTGCTTGAGGTGTCTGATTTTGCGCTTCTTTACGTTTATCATAACAAAAATTTATCCAACTTAGGTAAACATAAGAAAAGCTCGCACGTGTTATGCCAACAGCCCGAAAATCAAAATCTTCATCTAGATTGAAATTGAAGATTGGATCCAAGTCAACAAATTGACGACTTAATGTGTGCTGCAAAGCATCTTGTATGGAGGTGGAAGTTAACCATTCGTCCAGTTTTTGGCTTTTTATGACGTAGTAAATAATGCTCTGCCAGTAGAAGGAACACGAATGTAAAAATTTTTGTCTTTCTTTTCCTTTCAGACTTACCTTAATGTAATAAGTAATTAAAACTTTGCGATATTCAAATACTTGCAACGTTGCGCTGGCCAAATTGTCTGATATTGAATAACCTTCGACCACATACTGCGAGGCCACCACTTGCCAAGCCAGCCAACGTGTGGAAAACATAGCGTTGGCACTTAACATACGCGGCAAATGTCCTGGATCACAGCAACAACAGCCATCGTTATCCTCCACATCTTCTGTAATGGCTTCCACTTCACGTTGTTGGCAATAAGTGCCACGGAATTCCAAGCCTCGCATTTGAAATGTGCACAGACCATTTCCCAACTCAATAATGTGTACCAAGCAGTTCAGATAATCCGACGCCAAAACTAATGGGGGCATATTTGATACAATAGAGTTTTGCACAGCTTATAAGGACATGCGCTTACCAAAACAATCTCCTTGATTAACATTACCCCAACGACCCATTAATAAATCTCCACATAAGGAGTGCTGCAGTGAGCGAGTTAAATGTTCATAGAATATACTGTTCAAATTGTTATCATCGGCTCCCAAATCGCGCTCCAATTGAGAGCTTAAACGCGTGTTTGAATGGTCTATACGTCGCGTATTGTAGTCACGTTCCCAGAATTTGATAGGGCGCACATAGGATGTTAAAAATATGGCGCTGCCCAAGAACGGATTCAAAGGTGTCGATAAAATGGCTGATACTCCAGCCTGTAGAAACAACATAGCTGAATGAGGCACGCTAAACGGCTGAGCAAAAGCATGAAAAGCTGATCCCCATGTTATTTGCCATGGGGCGATATAAGTCACAATGAACTGCAACTGAAAACACCAACAAAAAATTAGCAAATACATCGAATAAAGGTTTTCGTTTATTAAAAAGACTTACCTTTAATAGAAAATCGCAACATTTACGGAAAGCCAAGGAAACGAAAAAGTAATCGATGAGAAACGTTTCGGAAGCGCAAGGAAAATCAATCCGAAAGAACAAAACCGTAAACATTACAATCAGGTACTGATTTGAAGGATCTGAATAGGCATTACGAATAACTGTAGAAGACAAAAAATGAGTTAGTGTTATCGTAGATACATATTTGTCTTCTTTTCTTTTAATAGATATAAAAATAACTCACACTTCATGCCACAAACAGCTACTATTAGTGCACCCCAACCGATGCCATATTTGTTGGCTATTGCAACTGAATCGGCCGTTAGAGCTGAGATCACCAGTAATGGGAACAGAATATTTCTTTCTAGCATACACATGTAAATGTAAAACTTTTCAAACCACATGATTTTTGGAGCATGTGATACCTCATATCGGCCATACTCTTTTTGCTTTAATAAAGGACGCGCAAAACACAGCCAGGGCATGTGCTTACGCATCTGTGGTATAATATAGTGTAATAAGAAACCAAATGATCCTATAAAACTATATAAAACCACATTTAAATCTGGCTGCAGAACGGTAAAAACAGTACTGCAGTGCAAACTGAACACCACAACGGTTAGAAATGTGCTGACTACAAAATCATTTTTCAACCGAGTGTTAACGGTTTGCTGCAACTTTTTTGGCAACGGATCAGGACTATCAGTTTCCCCGCTCTGCACTATTTCCTCAGAACAATTTATGGTGAAGTCGTCGGGTTGAGCCACCTGTTCATTATCCGCCTCATTAAGACCCACCGTACAAGTCGATATTTCTCCGGGATTTGTAGTCGAAGTAGTAGATGTCTTATCCACTTCTGCGACAGCAGCGTTTTGGTCATCATTCATTTTTAGCCTTAAATCAATACCATCATTGTTGGAAGTGCAAGAACTACTTGAAGCTGTGATAGTTTTCTTTGATTTTCCTAATGTTTGTTGGCTGCTGGTCAACGAAGAAGCTTTAGATTTACTGCGTTTTTGAGACTGAGACAACTCTTCTAAGTCCTCCTCGTCGCCCTCTCCCCTCAGTCCTTCTTCAACATTAGTTTCTACTTGTTGTTGTCTTTCTTGACCGGTCGCTGCTTCTCCTATTCTTTCCAGCGACGACATTTCTATAACTTCGGTAGTTCCCGGCTCTAAGGATGAATCTTTTCTGTGTCCTTGTTTAGCGGTTTCTTGCTGCTTAGTACTAGCAGTTAATTTGTGGCTGCTAGTACTACTAGTAGTGTTGGATAGTTCATCGTCGTCATCATGATAAGTGCTCATTATGCAATTCTTTATAATGGCCCAAGTATTGCTAAAATCACTAGCGGAACGTGATAGGTGATAACCCATTGGTATGAGAAGCGCGCAGAATATGGAAAATAGTATGTGCTGCGTACCCTTCACCTCAGCCAAAGCTGCATGTACTGGGCCGTAAAGGATTGATATCCCCCACAAAGACCGAAAAACACACATAAAAGATCCTGAAATGAGAAATAGTTCAAATAGAAACCTTTTTAATTATTAGACAATAAACGCCTAAAGCAGAAATAATTATGTAAACATTCCTTAGGCCACAGGCGAGGGAACAAAAGACCAGTTTACGAAATAAGTGATCGCTCTAAAGGACTCCATTAAAAAACAAGACTGTGAAGTTAAACAACACTTTTCTTCTGAACGACAAACGTTTGCACGTAGTAGAATTTTTGCTTCTTAAGCAGTCTTTTCTTACTCTCAAGCTTTGTTTTTAGCTTGGGCTCTTAAAAAAAGTAAACAAGTAGGCAAGTTGGGTGAACATTTTTCGCCCACAATATTCCGCTGAAAGGCTACTAGTTGCTTTGCAAAAGTTTTTGTGGAAACTGACTCCGGAAAATCGATTAATGTATTGCTTAATATTACAATAGAGTTATGTCGAGAATAAACTATGTCCTAACAATGTGGCCTTACTTTCTCAACGCAAGAAAAGTTTGAAAATTCTAATTTAAGTTTAAGGCTAACTCACCTATTAAACTACCCGCAGCGTTGCCACCAAATATGTGCATATCTATCTGCTCCATCAGATAAATAAGAAATGTATTGATTTGTGGAAAAAGTCCTAAAGAAAAAATAACCGGAAACGTTAAAAGAAGCAAGTAAAGGCCTTCTAAGAAAAACGCGTTCACTTGCGCGGGAGAAAATGCTACGCCAAAGAGTAATACACACTCAGATTGCATGCCTTGTATTTGTTGATTTTCATATTGCTCCTGGAACTTTTTCAGCAACAACAACAAACCCCCGCACAAACAAAAATAAATAGCTCGAGAGTATGCCACTGTTTTGTTGAAGCCATGTATCGGTGAGGCAGCATCTGGTTGTACACTTTTCAACAATGAGTATTGTGAACCAGCTATAACAGCACAGAAGAAAAATGCAAAGATATCCTTATAATAGTTGTGCTGCAAAATATTTGAGCCCAAATAAGCTACCGAAGCACTTAAAAGTACAGCCAAAATTATGTGAAACCAATGAAGATCGCGGTCAAAAAGAGCTAATAACTCTAAACGATCCATGCAGATTTTGAATTCATGCGTATATCCGCAACATTTGAAGCAATATCTGTAAAAGGATTTTGGAGGTACCGGAGGTTTTTCCGAACTTAACATACAGGCAGGTCGCCAATAATCACAGTAGTTTTCTATATGATGACCGTCAATGTTGAGTATTGCTGCCGCAGCTGCTGCTGAGTTGCTGCCCCCAGCTGTACTGCTGGCTAAAGCAGCCGAGCCTGTGCGAGGACTGGAGCCAATAGCTCTTAGTTCATCGGAAATTATGTCGTGGAAGAAGCCCTGTAATGAAATAGTTGTAGCACTGCTAACATTGCGGTTGTTAAGCACGGATGCTGTAGACGGCGAAGCCACTACTACACCCAGGGGAGCTGATGTTGAAGGTCGAGCATTAACTGATGTAGAAGACGGATTAGCTACCAACAGATCCAAGGCATTAGTTTGAGTGGTAGTGTTGGCGGTTTCGGCCGAGTCTCTGCGTTTCGCATTGCGCCGCAATAGTAATTGTTCCCTATAGTACAAACGTTCGCTCAAAGCCAAACGTTCAGCTGAGGACGCTGTATTGAGAGCCTTAAAAGCATCCTGGTAGAATTGCATATGTGCAGTCGACATATTGGCCGCCGAGGATGCTGTTGAGGCTGTCGGCGGCGGTACTATGGGATTACTATCGGTGCCCACAGGGCGACCACGTTCATCTACAGCTCCTCCGTGCATCAGCCAAAGCATTTTATGTATGTCTGCGGTAAAAGATTCGGCACTTACACTATGCGAACTGTTCGAAGAGGAGGAATTACGGGAAATCCCTTTAATTAGATTTCCACTAGAGGAGATAGCCACAGCAGTCCAGTTGCCAGCGTGACGTTTATTTATTTGCGTAGTAGGAGCGCCGGCGTTGGCCTCAACCAAACGTTCATCTACTTCCCGATATTGCACTACTTTGGGTATAGCTCCTTGGCTTTTTCCCACCTTTCCAATATTTAAATGATTTTCCAAAGAATCCTTAGCTTTTTCCACGTTAACCATATCATTCGTGATTTCCCCGACACCCGCAGAGCTATCTGCCTTGTGATTTATTACTTCTTCTTGAATATCCAGTCCAGCTAATAACATATCTTTAGAGCTGGCACTTATTTGCTCACAGTCGCTTGAAGGACAGCCAGAGTCAGCTTCAGTTGTTCGTGTAGAATGCATAGTAGATGTTGGCTTTTCTTCTTCTTCATTATAGGAATGTTTCTGTTTGCTTTGCACACTCAAAACCTCTTGAACCAACACTTTATCCTCCTTTTTGGCAATTTCCCATTTTTTTCCGCTTAGTAAAGGCGACCTCGATCCATTATTATCCGTTTCTGAATCGGTGGAATGTAAACGTTCTCTCAAAGCTTTGGCACCTAGATTATTATCATCGTCATCATCATCATCATCATCATCATCATCCCCATCTCTGTTCTCTCCAGCTGGTAGGTTTCCAGCTTCTTGATGAGCTCTTAAATCAGCATCCAATTGGTTTTGTGTATGTTGTAAATCCTGTAAAATATTCTCAACATCAACATCGAAATCTTTAAACTCATCATCTTGATCCCCTATATCATCTTCTTCGCCTTCACCTACTATTTCTTCTTCTAAATCCTCTTCGTAGTCATCTTCCTCCTCTTCCTCAGCATCCTCTTCACCATCTTCTTCCATTTCATCATCCGCTTTATCATTTAGAAAATCTCCTACATCTGATTCGGCGCTATGATGATGGTGATGGTGGCGATGATGATGATTTAAATAGTCTTGCAAGCAAACCGTTCCTCCTCCTACCGCTCCAAGCGAGTCTTGTTCATCTTCTAGCATATCTAAGCAATCTTCACGTTCTGGTATTCGCGGCCTATTTTTAGTATTCGGGTTGTCTGTTTGCAATTCTAAAATTTTAATAGCCTCAGATTCTTCTCTATATGAAGATTTTGCTGCTTTGTGCTCGTGCGATTTTTGCTTTTCATCTTTTTGTTCTTTAATGGAGTAAACTGGTTCTATCAAGGCATTAGTGGAACCGAAATCTAAGCTGCTGGTAGTGGAACTATCGCCAAAGCTGCCACCGAATTTAGGACATAAATTCAAATGAGGATTGCGTACCAAACATTTACTAGGTGGTGGGAGTAAGCAGCTTTGGGGATTTTTAATTTGTTGTTGTCCACTAATGGCTTCTACGCTATTAGGATGCGGGCAGAGGTTTGATACTGAAGGACGCGAACATGAAATTTCTAAAGCAGCACTTTTTATTCGTCTTACTGAAGTAGCACCTGCGCCACTATTATTCCCAAAAGTCGGGTGGCAAACAGCATTCGAGGAACTACCTCCCATTGGACACTTAAACAAAGCTGTGGCGTTTGAATGACGGCGACGTTTCGAGCCATTTCCACTGTTCCCTCTTAGGCCCCCACCGCCGCTAGCTGAGCGAGATTTTTCGGAATGACTTGCCGTCTGGCCAGATAAATTTGTTGCCACAGGGAGTTGTAACGCTGACATAGTACTGCTGGAGTCTTTACGTATATTTGCGCCACAGTTGCGCTGATGGGGTTGCAGCAAACGAAATTGTTGCTGATGTGGATGAAAATGAGAATTTAGCGGATGTTGTTGATGCAATAAGAATGCACCACGACTTGTACCAGGTATGGTACGATCATCTAATTGCTCAATACCCAAATCGGATTTGGTATAACTGTCGTCTTCTATAAACACATCGGATGACGACCCTAGAAGAATACTGAAATTAAGTTTCGATACATATATATAAAAAAGAGCGTGACATACCTAATATCCACGACTGTAAAGCCCTCATTCTACCATCGACTAAATGAGTGTTGTGAGTTACAACACTACTCGCACTGCTGCCCAGACCCAATTCCAATTCATCTACATCCAAAGCATTGCTACTAGACAAATGTTGACCACCACCACTGCCACCTCGACGATGTGTATGGTGATGATGCCGATGATGGTGATGAGAGTTTGATGATGAAGACGAAGTAGGCGGTAGCTGCTCATGATGTATAGGTAAATAAATACCACCACCACGTTGCTCAGATTTTAAACGCTCATCATGTGTCTCTGAGCTACGATGCCTTTGCAAACGTGAACTTTTCAAAGCAGATGTGCTAAGAGCTGTTGCGTTTGACGTAGACGTTAATCCCGAACTCGTTATATTTGAACGTTGTGCTTGCAGCTGCGGTGGTTGCGGTAAGGAAGTATTAAACGAATGGGAGTTTAAAGGAGTGCTTGTTGTAAAATTGGCAGAATTGGTTTTCGAAATTTGTGCATGTAAAAAGCTGTCACATCTTTCAGCAGAATGTGTAGCTAAGTTATTTGCATTCTGTGCAGATTTGTTGGTATCCGTAGAGGATTGGCGCATTAATTTGGCTACTAAGGCAGATTCGGCAGTAGCATCTAAACTGCTTTGCCGCTCTAATCGCCTTCGTAAATGACCGCGTATCACTTCCGAAGACTTACGTACTAAACGAGGTTGTCGAGCATTTATATGAGCTGTTGCAGCTGAACTGTGCTGTAGTGACTGGCTAGAGCTGATAACAGTTGAACTGACGGCAGCAGCTTTGGGACTTTGTTCCTTTGGATACACGGTTATGTATTTTGTAATCAAGTTGGGATCGTTATTGGAGGCGTTCGAATTATTATTCGTATGAGAGGAACGTATTGATTTCGAGTTACTGGCAGTACCCGCTAGAGATTGTTGATCCTGCTGGCTATTGGCCGATATCATGCTGGGAGCATAAAACATTAACTCTATAGATTCGGAACTATTCTTACGATGTACATCAACTTTCAAATCTAAAAACCATGCGATTAATGTATAAACATTAAAAAAGTGTGATAAATTGAAAGCTTACCTATAATGCTATTAACATTCTCTATGGATACCATACTGTTTTCACCACTAATTTCATTAATGGCATGATCCACCGAGTTGCGTAAATCATCGCCACGCATTACTTTCATTTCTATGCCTGTTTCTTGATCACGGCCCCTGAGTGTAAATATAGATATAATAATAAATACATTTTATCTCTTTCTTTCTTGCTATTTTTTTCTCTTCTATATAGGAAATACTTACCCGCCCTCAATTTCTTTGGTAACCTTGAAAAAATGTTGCTTTATATTGGCCTCAGAGATTGTCTGGGCGCGATCATATAAACGATGCAAAGCCATATTAGCTAATTTTAAAGCTAATATGGTTAAACTGATCACCATACAATATGTACACCAAGTAATCCATGTGCCCGGAAAATACAAATAAGCCACAAATGGCGAGCATAATAAAAACAACCATAAATATAAGTGAACGACATTACAAAAAACACTTTGGTGAGGATCATAAAACCAACCACCAGTCAGCGAGGCCCAAACGCCTTGACGCAGTATTTCCAAGGTCTGTGAACCCATGGCCTACGTCCAGGCATTGCCAAATCACCCAATAAATCTTTGCCACCAAACCGAAAATTTCACTTTTTCTCAACAAGACAAAATATATTTACGCAGAAGTTCAGTTAGACATAAACACAGGCACACTGTAGCCAATTAACCCACTAAATGCCCGTAATTGACACCTCAGCTTAAATGCAAAAGGAAGTCAACTTTTGTTTGCACAACTTGTTCATTCGCGTATTGACAACGCTTTCATTTTCTTGCTTGTACGTAAAATTGGATACTTTTCTTTATTTTGTATTTTGTTTTAGTTTTTTTTTTGTTAATGCATAGATTTTCTGATAATAATTTTCTTTTGCCCGATTTTCTACACAATTGCTTTTTTAGTCGCTCTATCAAATTTCACTTTTTCTCCTCCTCCTCACGCATTCATTAATCATCCAGATTCACTTGTCTTCCGCTCCTTACACTTCTTTAGCGTATTCTCGTTATCTTTGATTAATATTTCTACTTAATTAAAGCAACATTTTGTAATTGTTTTATTAATTTATTTCTATTAATTTAAAACAATTATTTAATATACCTATGCACTCTTGCTCCATAATTTTTCAACATGAACAATTTTTTTTCTGATTAAGGTCGTTCTCTTAAGAAGCAGAGTTACCGATAATCCTAGTTTGTCACTGCAAAGAGCGATTTTTATAATCATCATTGTTTTTTTTTATTATCTTTATTTATTTACTTTTTTTTTACTTTTCTGTTGTTTCATCACTGCGCAAAGTCTTATTAACGACAAAGATAGCAATCGATAGATAGATATATATACTTTGAATTGTTGAGATTAACTGGACTAAGCCAGTAAGGATGGCTTATATGTCAACAAACAAAAATTCTACAAAATTTCTGAGGGAAAAAAAATGTTCTCCTTTTGCAATTTAAAAACATGAACAGTCACTCATGGCGACAACTTTCACACGTTAAAGTCTTCAAATATATATATATATATATATATATATATATATATATATATATAAATTTATATTTATGTGAATTCTGTCTTGTTCTTTAACTCCGGAATTTCCCAAAGATATCTTTCGGCACTATGCATAAAAGTATAGAACGTAAAGAAAAATAATAATAATAAATTTCATATGTGATACACGATTTTGCTTCAATCCTTGCAACTCGGACAACGTACGTACATAAAAACTAATTGGTCTAATTTGACAGCAGTTATAGAATTCTGACTTCATATAATAGCCATCTAAATGCGTACACATAAAATGAGCATTTAAACATTTGGTTCCTTCAACGATGTGCATGCTGTATAGATAAGACCTTGTGGGTATTTCATCAAAAAAATTGGGACTTAATTTTATACCAAGAAATAGTGAAATCCAGTGACCCGGTTGCCCTGAAATGAATGTTGAGCTAATTTTTTACTACTTTTCATTAATTGTTTTTTTCTGCTCATAAGCGGTGGATATTTTTTGTATTCTGCTTTTTGACACTCACTGATTTGTGGCTAGAAGAACGCAATAGATTGAATTATTTTAAGCATAATCTACAAAGAGATATTTTTATGTTATTTTGTTGGATTTGTACAACTGTCACATCTTCGTTTTCTCTTTTCGCTCAATTTCGTAAACAAATCCTTTAGAAGAAAATTTTATATTCTCGTCAAAATAGGAGTCATATAACATGTCTGGCTTTAATGCATTTTTTTTAAGCATGCTTTCATTACTCAAGGAAAAAGCCGTTACAATTAAAATTTTATTGAATTCTTACTACCGAGTAATCTGCTGCTGACATATGGTTTATTTAAAAATTTATTTAATAAATTTATTAAAATTAAAAATGCAAAAGAATTATGATTAAGCTTTATACACATACATAAAGTGCTTGAAGTTTTACATGAGGCGATTGTTTTCTATAAAATCAAGAAGAAAGCACATTAGTAAATAGGTAAATTATAATCCGGTGATGACGAGGACGGATAGTAAGCTGGACTGAAACCTTCAAAAAAGGGGTTGTTACTGGATAGTGCTGACCCATAACTATGTTGGTATTGAAGATTGGTTGGAAACCGTGTTTCGTAAGACGCAGGCTGTGTTGAAGGCGCGCCATTGGATGGAAATGGGGTATCAAAAATCGGAGCTGAGTCGGGTGACTGGGGTGGGTCGTTAGCAAAGTCCACTAGACGCGAAGGCTGTAGGAATTGGCGGCCGTCATTGTTAGCATCGTTTGAGTTATCATCAATGTAGTCTTCTGAAGCATTTTCAGGAGAAAAAACATCTCTAGAGTCTGCAAAGTCGCCGGTATCATCAACGGCATCGGGAGCGCCAGGGCTGTTCCCATTCGGATCGTCGGGCGTTGATTGTGGTTGTTCTGACGGAGGTTCCGCATCATTGGTAGAGGTATCTGCAAAGTGATTTAGAAAATCCAGCGTTTCGGCATATATTAACTAGATGTACTATTTTACCATCAGGTGCAGCAAATTGATACAACAGCTGATTACGTAATTGTTGCGGTGGCCGTCCTCTCGGCCTTGGTGCTGGAGATGTTTGAAGGGGCGGAGGCGGCGGTGGCGGTTGCTCCGGTTCTGATGATGGCGATTTTTCCGACGCTGGTGGCCCTTCGGTTGCAGGCGGTGGCGGTTGTGTTGGTCTTAATATAGGATTTTCTTCAAGTCCTGGCTGAGCGGTTGGTGGTGGAGGTGGTGTCATAGGTGGAGCAGGTGGCTGTGATGATGAAGTTGGTGGGTCTGTAGCGGGATTGGGATCTCCGTAATCATAATCACCATAGTTATAATCATACGAAAAAAAATTTGGCTTTCCAAACCGCCCTTTTGGTCGGTAAACTATGGGTCGTCTAGATGGAGGAGGGGGAGGTGCTGGCGCTGGCGGTTCTTCTGGTGCTGGAGGTGGTGCTTCTCTCGACGCTTGCGGTTCACCTGTTGCGGGGGGCGACAGTTGTGTTGGTCTTAATCTAGAATATTTTCCTGGCCTGGGGCGCGGTCTCGGCTGAGGGGCTGCTGTTGGAGGTGGTGTCATAGGGAGTGCAGATGGCGGTGATGATGAAGGTGGTGGATCTGTAGGGGGATTGGGATCTCCGTAATCATAATCATCGTAGTTATAATCATATGAAAAAAAATTTGGCTTTCCAAACCGCCCTTTTGGTCGATAAACTATGGGTCGTCTAGATGGAGGAGAGGGAGTTGCAGGTGGACTTTGGGTTGTGGTAGTAGTAGTTATAGTAGTTGTTCTGGTAGGCTGTGGTCTAGGTGCACGTTGAACTGTTTCACCCCCATTGTTGCTGTATACGAAGTTGGGGAATTTATTAAATCCGTATTGTCCATAACCAAAATTAAAAGGAAACCCAAAGCCTGATTTCTGGAAAAACACATTGGGATTATACCTAGATTGCGGTGGTAGGGGTAGTGCCCGTTGCGGCTGTGGCCGCAACGTTGTAGCGGGTCGTCTTCTAGGTACCGGAGTAGCTTTTATGTTGGTCTTTAAGTCGCTTGCTGCAGCACTTTTCAATAGCAAATTACGTACGAACGTGCTCAGGTCAATGGCTCTTGGGCTGCGACTTACTTCAGCCACTTGAGCCTGCGACGTTGCAATCGTTTTTAACCCGAGCAACAATATTGCCACAAAAGCAAGAGAATGTAACCACATATTTTGTACGTTTGTACACAAATATGTGCACGTTTGGTTCCTTTAAATAAACAACCGTTTTGTTTGCACTGCAACTGAGAACTGTTAAAAATCACAAGCATTATGATTTTCATATTAACTGCTAAATTTTTGGTGCTGTTGCGACTAATCGAAAAAAACGTTAGGCAACAAGTTTAGCTAGTTCTGGTTAAAATGTACATGAACCAATTACACATACGCTGCCCAGTGCAGTGAACACTGATGCTAACACAATGATAAGCTTTCGATTTCTATTTATTCCATATACATATAAATATAAGTAAGACTACTAAGGCTCCTATTATTAGTATTTTCTCAACATAACTACATGTAACACAAACAACAACAATTAAATCTACCTTTCATTCATAACACATTTACACAAATAAATCGATGAATTTGTTTTTTATATCTGGTTATTATACTTGTATGCTACAAGCCAATGGATCACTAGAGTTCAAATTAAGGAAATATTATTTTATAATCACAATGCATCCTAACAAGTATTTACTTTATATAACCAACAGACATGTGGTTATCTAGACGTTCGACTAGTCAAGTATTTTGAAAAAAATATACAAACATGCTATTGACATTGCTATGCGGTATAAAAGATGAAAATTTGAATAAATTCAAGTCTACGAGAATACATGGCTCCCCTTACACAAATATCCGCGTAAGCCTGTGAGTCTATCGGACGGCATTCCTCGTCAAGATTAAGCAGAACATTAATGCATTGGTTATATTGAGACACTAAGTGAACATTCATTGTGGTGACCCAAAACGTCAAGCAAGTAGTCGTGCATTGGTAGCATTACATTCATTTGGCTTTATTAGAGCTAGTTTAGTGCAAGTTCCCAAAAATTCATATTTTGTGGTAAGTAAGAACGATATTTTTTACTTACTGAGCTGGGCCTGAAACTGTCTCGCCTGCAACCAAATGGTTTTGTCTGATTGAAGTTGATAACAATGTGCACTTGAAGGAAGTGCTTTACGGTTTTCAACAACAGTAATAAAAATGTCCTTTTGGGTTTATCAGTCGCGTTTTTACATACTTGATGCCTTTCGCCATCTCAGACCAATTTGCTTTTGTTATAAATTCAAATGTGATTCTGGAAATCAACTATACAGAATTGGTGTTAATTTTTCTTCTTTCAGAGTCAAAATCTGACGACTATTTTTGTATCTTTGACCTTTAATGTTTACACTTTTTAGTGAAACTTGAGATTACTAATGTCATTCCGATATATGAAAAGGTATACCACGTAAAACATTTTCGATCGGCCAACGCTCTCAATTGTGTTCACAGCGCGTACAGAACACGGTTTTATTAAGAGCGAAGAGAACATTATTGCTTGCGATATTGTTAATAACAACCCAGATTTGTCGATCGAGCGGGCTTCTTAAGATGCAAATATCTCTGCGGCGTGTTTTAAGCAAAGATGCTTGCTTTTATGCATATTAGATACCGCTTACTTAAAAATTTAAATCAGCGGAGCGATGCATTTTCAGAAACTTTACTACTTGTGGAAATAACGATTTTCATTGTAAAATCGTTCTTAGACATACGCAAACCTAGGGGTCAACGGTTTCATTAGTAAGCAAAAATGTCTTATCTGCCCAAGTCAACAACTCACGAAGTTTACTAAGTTTTCCAAAAAATTTACTCTCATACAAACACCTTCGACTGTTCGGCACTCAGGCCATCCACAGGCCTCACCAAGATATATTTTTAGCTTTTTAAACGCTTTCAGATTTTTTACATCATAAACGTAGACTGCGACCACATACAAGTTAGAACACTTGGATGTCCTTGATGCAGGACTTTAACAAGAGACGGTTATATTCCGTACTGCCGAAAAAAAACATTGATTTGTGAATTTTGATAATAGACACTTCTAAGAGCATATGCAGTAAACCTTAGACTTACTTTTTGATTTTTGCAGTTCAATAGCAGATAATTGATTACAGGTGCGCACCAATTTATAAATAATGTAAGCAAAATCTGCGAACTGCAAAATTGATGCATTCCCAATCTCCGTTCGCGGGTACGAAATTAATTTTACAAAATTAATAACCAACATTCGCCAAACTGAACCACAACAACTTTTGTTTCAAGCAGATATGAAGTTAATCATAAAACACGCGCACACGACATGAATAGTATATATATATATATAATCCACGTACTAGTAAATATAGCTAAAACCTTGGGCATTATACTTAAAAAATATGTATGTTTGCAATACTTCACAGAAATTTCAGCTTAAAATAACTGGAACACAAATACGACATAAGAGTAAACCAGTAAGTAATAAAAAAAAAAAATTAAAAAGGAAAAACTATTCAACTCTCTAATTGATGCTGTATGAGAGCAAAATGACCCGTAAATAGGTTATTTGTGGATAACAATCATCAGATTTTGCTTTCCATTATAAATATTGTAAAAAAATTTACATTTATTTTCATATATAATAATGACAGTCGAAATTTTTTTGAATATAAAGTATATAAAATGGCTTTTACTAGGTAAAGACGTATAATCACTTGTTTCCTCTCTCTTCTTTCCTGTAATAAACAATCATTATTATAAACATTTTTTTTTCATCAAATCCAAAACGTATTCATAAACCAATAGGAGTATGGCACCGCCAGGGCCTAAACGCATAATTTTAGGAACTAAACCTTTATATAAAGCGCGAAAACCTTCTTCATGGTAAACCAATAATATACTGCCAAGTGCCGATTTGTATTTGACAACGCCCGGCTGGGGTTGAGGACCTTGTATACGAGATTTGGCGACATCAAATGGTATGTTAACGAAACATGCTAAAGTACCCGAAGTGAAACCGATAGCAAATTTTCGAAAAAATTCTTTGAAGTGATCATCAGATGCTGACGTCAATTTCATGACACTGTGATAGAACCCGAAATAGACCATATTAAAAAGACCATTACGACCCATTGTAGCAGTAATGCCCTTGTTAAGACCACGCAAACCAAAGCCATCTTTTTGTACGATTTGCCGGGTTACCGTCCAAGTGCTTTGTGCTTCTTTCATTTTAGTTTTATCAGCTTGTTGTGTCACTTTAACTACTTCAAAGGGATTCACTGCAATAGATTCAATCAGACCAGCTGTTAGACCGGCTAAAGAAAAAGTCTAATTAAATTATACAAAAGAAGTTTAATTTTAATATTTATATGTAAGTTTATATATATCTTTTCAATATTGCGAACCGTACCAGTGGCGTTGGAGCTGCAGCTCCAAACATAAACATTGGCTTAGTTTGTTCAAAGCATACAAATTTTATAGCTCTTTTCGGCGTTTCGGCTATAATAGGAGGCAATATACCCTTCCAAAATGCAAAAAAACCTTCTTGTCGAGACATTTTTGCAAAACAGTCAAACACCCCTTTATAATGATGCTAATATTACATATATAATGAAAGAAAAATATAAATGATTAGTTTAGTTTTTAAATAATAAATAAAAACGAATGGGGTGTAAATACACCCCAAAGGGTGTAAAATAAGGCGTGATTAGTTCTATATTATACTTAATAAGACTGCGGTTTGTTCATGTCAAATTGCTGCCTTGAAATTTTACGCCGTATCGCAAACAACATAATTTTTTTCAGCTTGGAACAGGTAGAGTGGACTATTAAAAAAAAAAACAGAATAGCAATTTATTTCATTGCTTAGTCGTGACGTGTGATGAACAATGAACGCGATATAATATACAAAGTATAAAGGGGCAGAATGGAGGCCACATGAATCATTAACGCCGACCGTGAAAGCATATACGCATACTATTCCATTTGGACGGCGTTTGTTGAATATAGCGCACTATATGATCTAATTCAACGCAAAGCCACTTATAACGGCCGACGTAATTGAGTATTATTAAAGAAAATTATAAAAGGAAAACGACAACAATTTGTGAAAACGCGTTACAAAGTGGTTTGTCAGTTCAACTCGATTCCCTTGCGCAGTGTTTGTCTATAAAATATTAACAAAAATCGCTCCTTTAACCAAAAGTAAATGCTTTTATTTCATTAACTGCGGAGAAATATAATCTTTTTGCTTCTCTTGCTTAATTTGTTAAAAATATATATCACATCAAGAAGCTTTGCTTGCTTGATTTTATTACATCGATGTGTGTAAGATATAATTCTTTGTAAGCTTTTTTTATGAAAAAACCCCTTATTTTAAGAAGAAAAATTCTTCAAAATTCTAAAAAGAAAAACGAACTTTTGAGGCTGTTTATAATAAAATGCATTTTTTGGATATTGGGTGTCACAATAATCGAAATCTTGCTCGGCAAGATAATAAGACATCGAATGAAATCAGTGTTTATCAAAAGGAATAATTTTTAAAAAATACAGCAAGTATGATATTATAGTCCATTTCACTACTGCTACCGTTTTCAAAGAAAGGTTCGTCATACCGAGCCGCGCTATAATGCGCTAATTTTTTGCTTCATTGTATTAGTTTTTGTTGATAGCGCTCAGCAGTGACAGTTTCGTTTCCTTGGAACAACCTGTAATATGCTACACCCAGCGAAAGATAAAAGGAAATATATTACATGCATGAGCATAACCGTCGTTAAGTCATGTATGGTGCCGTTTTTTATACCCTACACCACTTGTCGGTCAAAGGTATATTTAAGCAGAAGAAGTTGAGATAGACCCACCTTTTATTATGCCAATCAATTCAGAAAGTGATTTTCGGTTTGCCTGTTCATCTGCCCATTTTGTTTTCTTGTGTTCAATCTACAGGCCGCCATAGTAGAGATATTTTTTTTTCAAATTTGGTACACTGACGTGTTTCGATCAAAGGACGAGCGCCATAGAAAATGATTCGAGCCGGACTACCTTTTCGACTAGTTCCTTGTTTTTAAAGCCTTGTTTTGAGTTTTGCTATATGAATAACTTTAGGATAATGTAGGGTATTTACTGGTAAATCGCGACCTACTATCGTGTTTTTACTTCTTTTTAAATAAATTTGTTTATTATTACTACTATTATCATTTAGACTAAAGAATTGAAGTACGAGTTTAGAATGAATTACGAGATTAGACGTAGGATGGACGTTAGGAACAAAGACTCTCGACGCTATGTTTTTATGGAATAAAGTAGATGATTAGTCCAGCCACTTTAATAAAGGTGAACATTTTATTGATATTCAGTTCTCCAGGTAATTTCAAGGTGTCTATAGAGTTAGATACTCCAAATATGAACTTTTAATTTATCTAAAAATGAAAATTTGACTCAAATTCCTGAAGAGTTTTGGGAGATGCGACGTTGTAATCCGTAGCGGTACGACTAAGAAGGTGAATTGCGGTTTTATCAAAGCCTGCACGCTTTTACGGAAAGGCCAATATGTCAATTTTTACCTCCGGAAGAATGTTTTTATATAGACGGACCGACGAACATGCCTAGACCCCGTTTCCCTCAGCGACATATGCGTCGGCAAATTCATGTAGAATGACCACAGATTCAATGAAGAAAAACGAACGAGTTATAACAATATAAAAGGCGTAACGATTAATAAGGGAAACATCGATTTTAGCTTTCGATCCAGAAAACGCTCAACACTCAAGTGAATATCACGTTAAAGGTAAACCGAAATCGGAAAACCACGTCAAAATAATAACGGTCATGCTGTTCACAAGAGGCCCCTTCTACATGATTAAGCGGTCGGTAGGAAGTATTAGTTATGCCTTCAGCGTCATTTATGCGAATCTGTTTAGCATATATCTTCGAATTTATGACAAATCATTTCTTTGTTTTTTCATCACGATGGTAAACCTTCGCATACCACCATAATTGTTCACCAGTTTTTCAGGAAAAAGTCAAAGTAATGTCTCTTCATAAGCACCAAGGAGTCAGCTGATACGGCTCCCGAGTGATGTAGTCTTTTCCATGAAATATACAATGAAATGAACCGCTTTATTGTAGTCATTTAGGGTCATCAAGTACCATTCCTTAAAGTGCTTATCGGCTACGCTGTAGGCTAGAATTTTTAAACAATTTGACCGACTGACATGAATTATCAGATTTTATTACAAGTAGTTGATTTACATCAATTTTCCAAGCGTGAGTTTGAAATACAAGAGAATTCCTTCTTCTTATTTTTTAAACGCAGTGTTGCAATATTCTTATCTGTAATGTACACCTTTCCAACAACCATTCTGACAAATCTAAGTGAAACGGTTTTCGCAATTTTTTTCTGTTCGCCACATAAAATACTTGTGTTTTGCAAGAAGTATACTATATATGTGTATATACATACATATGTATGTGTAAAGTACCGAATGACTCCAGTTATTGACATATACTCGTACATACATATATATGCATATTTAGTAGATTATATATAAAGGAAAAGAAAATGTAAAGCGAAATACTTGATAACATTGATTGTCTGCTTAAACGTGATACAAACGCAATAACAGCCATCAACCAGTGTATACGAATAAATTAAACAAAAATATTTAGACCGACTACGAGTTCAGCAAATGACAAGAGCAGCACTTCGATACCATACAAGAGGGCGCTAAAACGCCCACATATTACCGTCACTGGAAATATCTGTGCTTTAACCATAGATAATCTCTCTGATTTGGCGCTTTCAAATAACGCACGAGTGTTCTTTAAATGAAAAAGAAACTTAAGAAATAAACGCGATCGTAAGGAAAAAGCAAAAAAAAAGAGAGAAATCATGCTTGCGGTTAAGAACGAATTTAGCACACCCATCCCTATCTTACACTGAAACGAGAAATATTCAATAAATTACGATGTTCACATTATACCATAGTTTTAATCGTATGAGAAAAATTAACAACACACACATACAAATAGGCAAGGCAAAGTGAAGATCGAATTTTACTAAAGCGAGAGAGAGAGGGAGAAAATGTTATCAGCATATGATGTTTAAAGTGATTTACTCTATTTGAATATAGAGTAAAGAGGAACCTATCGCAGACACCGGAAATCGTATAGAAAAAAGGCCCACTTAGACCGCCCTAATGATTGTACTAACGACACATTTAATATCAAAATTCTTCATTGTAAATAAACAAACAGCAAAAATTGTTTCTCTTTTTCTTTATTGTGAACCAATTTATAGGAGTGTTCATTCCAGTTTTGGAGCTTGGTCTGGCAAACATGACAAATTTTGACGTCATATTTGTTTCCTTTAATCAACGTTTAATAAATTTAATACACCATCCCTTGAGATGGGCAATAAAAAAAAGAAACAAAACAAACAAACAAACAAACAAACAAACAAAACCGTATTTCGTGATATACGTATGCGTATAAGCATTTCGACCTTGAGGTAGAGTGTACGAAAACATATGCGAAAAGTATACATTTATACGTAATACTGATGCGATCATTAAACGTAGAACATGAAAAAAAAAATTTCAACATATTTTTTGATTTCCAGTTCATTTTCTTTAAAATACTTACCCCTCCTCCACCCAATTGCATGCGTGTTTTAACCACATCTAGCGGCTGCATAATACAAACTTCCACAAAACCAGCTGAACCACCAGCCACCACTTGCAAAGCGGCTCTTTTTAACATCGGTAATTCTTTCTGTTGTGCAGACTGTATAGACATCTTGTTTTTGTTTTATAGTTATTTTTTATTATAAAAAAATTACTTCAAATTTTTTTAATGTTTTATAAATTTTCGTTTCACTTAAGGTGATTTTAATTATTTCTTTTTTTAATTTATTTATTTGTTATATCGGTAAAAAAAAAACCTCGTGCACTTCGTATGCTTGGAGCTCAACCGTGACACTGAGTATCAAAAATGTTTTCTCCACTTAGAAAAATATAATTCTTATTAGGCATCGACATTATTTTCACCGATACACTCACTTCATCATTATTTTTTGAGAAATTAAAAAACTAATACTCTTTTTTCATGGTAAACTCAAGTAGAAACGTATACAGTTATATTTACATATATATTCATATATACATATGATGTACATGTGGATACTATTTACTTTCTCAGTAATAATGCAGCACAAATTTTCTTTTCCAATTCTATTGTAAAGAGAATATTGTATTAACCGCTCAACAATCTTTATTGTTTTGTTAAGTGTGTATTTTTGAAGAATTTCAATGTTTTCGTCCTATTCTTTCGAAAAAATCAACTGTTGTTTTTACGTGTAACAAAGAGAATTTGTGAAAAAGAAAGGGTGAGAGGAAGATTGTGAACACAATTTACGTTTATATTGAGTATACAGTGAAATCTTCATTGCAAATATCAATAGAAAATCGTGTTGCCTCAAATTGCGAGCAACCTAATCACGTTAGGTCTGTTAGGAGCCGCCTGAGTGACCGAAGAAGAGAAATCTCGATCAGCAACTCAATGCTCGTGGATTCGAATCTCAAGTGCTGTAGAGATTTTAATAAAAGCCGATAGCCTTAGATACTAGCGCTTTTAAGAGTTTAGTCTTACAACTAATTTCGCTGGCGAAATTGATAACAATTATAATAATAATAGATCTGTCAGCAAATTAATTCGTATCTCTGGAATGTCTGCTAGTTGCCGACGAAGCTGCCGCCAGTGCCATAGGCACATACGAAGACTATACCGTTATTAATAAATCCCATTATTATAAATACCATTTGCGCCACCCGACATCTTACTTATCATTGAGCTTATGGGTAACAAATAAATCTACAATTATATAAGAGATTACATTCAAGGACTATATTTTACGGCTGTATGGATTTTTGAAACTATCACTATAATATCTTATATCTCATAAAATTCGTTTAAATAGGTTTAAAAGAAGCTTTTTAACGTGGAAACAATTTCAGTCAAATCATTTGCTTAACAGAGAGCGCAGGTGGATTAAGATTGGGAGTTTAGACTTGATGATGAAGAAGAACTTCCTGAACATACGAAAGTTATGTGGGCTGTATTGGAAAAAGCTGCCCGTTATTGATGGTTTAGCCATATATTTAAAGCGCAATCTTTATTGTTTTTTAATTTAGTATACGTTTCATCCAAACAGTTCCGTTTAACTGTCAATCCTGATTTAATTTTCCGTGCTGTCAATTCCTTCCTTTTTTAGCACTTTGTAAAGGATTAATAGTGATAATCGTAATTTGCGTAAACGTTTGTGTATGCATTTTATATGTTTTATAATATATGTTTTTTATATACATGGTCATGTCTGAATTTGATTTAAATTAAACATTATTGTCGTTAATAAGCATCGTTTCTATCTATCTTTTATTGCTATCTTAAATGACTTTTTCTTTGAGACCTTATTTTTCCTAAAATTGAAAAATTCATATTCATATTCATTCATATTATACTCTTCTGTCTCTCGACTGTATATACTGTTCTATGTATTTCTTTACATTTAACAAAAGCCAAATAGCAATAAGAGGTGTGTGCGTTCATTTGAAATGAGAAGATTTGTTTTGGGCTAGCAAAGCAAGAGAGCCAGTGAAATTCTTCAATTCAGGTTCTACTGTATTTACGACTTTATTACCACATAATCAGCGACTGCATTTTCATTGAAATTAAGAGATCATAAAACAACTGTGTTAGTGAGAAGGACATATGCAGAAAGTAACAAAAATCCATATTTTCAGTATAAATTTTTGCTTACGGCATATTTTTTCATTATTTATTACTCAAAAAAGTTACGAAACCAAAAAAAAAAAAACATTTAAATGTTAAAAAGCAGTTGGAATGTTCATTATTCTAAATACACCGTTAAATTTGACATTCTGCTTAGGCAATTTCATTGGCGATACTTATGGTGATCACATCATATTATTTTGCTGAATTTTACCTCATTGCGTAAATTTTATCACTTAAGAGAAATTTAAATGCATTAACAATTGCCTGATTAATTTGCTAAAAAAAACTCCTTTCTGAATCATTATTGTTTTTTCATTTACATAATCTAATTAATTATATAAAAGCCATTTTTGGTATGATATAAAAACACTCATTCATTTGTTTAAATTTTCGTTGCACCTTTATTCGACCAATGACAATTTTTTTACTGAACAAATGAAGGACCTGATGTGTATTTCATGTCCCATCTTACAGTGTTGGCCTTGAAATTTCAAAGAGAAACAAATGTCAGAAGAGATCGTAAGATAAAAAAAATTTCATACATTGGGAGGTGTTCCATGTTTTTGTAATTTATTTTGGATTTATATCGTCTCATATCTGCTAACATAAACAATTTCGAAATTTTAGGTTCATTATAAATTCCAATAAATTTTCTTTAGGCTTATAAAGACATATTTGTTCTATAGCGAAGAAAAGGTTATATTGAACTATTATACTTTACATCCTTAATTAAGGAATTTATCCCTCGAGATCGTCCCCGTAATACCAAGGCAATAGTCATGTCGCCTTCAAAAAACTAATTGTTTCTTCAGGCCCACTATCTCTCATTTATCAAAATGTTAGGAGTCTAAATTCAAAAATTCGTTCCACTTTTCTAAATTCAGAGAGCACGGAGTTTTTCTGTTTGGCCTTTACTGAAACTTGGCTAAAACCCGATCTTCATTCGTCGAAACTTTTTCATAATTCTTTCCAAGTCTTTAGAAATGATCGAGTGAATCGCATTGGTGGTGGTGTATTAATTGCCATATCTGCGTCAGCCTCGTCCAATTTAACTGAATTTCCCACTTCTCCTGACGTTGAATTTATCGCTATTCGTGCGAATATGAATGATAAACATCTATTTATAACTTGCTCCTATATTCCCCCAAATTCCGATATCTCCATTTACAGGAAACACGCTTCCCTCATTTGTGAAGTGGCCAAGCGGTTTAGACACACTGATTTGGTCGTTGCATTGGGTGACTTCAATTTGCCTCAAGTCACTTGGTGTAACACTGATAATTCTGGCTGTTTGGTTCCTACTTCAACGTCTGATAGGGCTGTTGTGTTCTTTAGTGAATTGTTTGATCATGATTTGGGTCAATATAATCGTACCCCTAATTGTAATGGTAGACTGCTTGATCTCTGCTTTGCCAATTTTCCCGAGATTAACGTAAATCGTTGTCCACCTTTTAGTTTACCTGAGGATCCTTATCATCCATCAATATGCATTTCTTTTCATCATATGAATCATGGTTTGTTGAAATGCTTTAATGTGCCAAATCAAACTTTTTTAAATAATTATTATGATTTTCATAAAATCAATATTGTATTGCTAAAACATCGTCTTTCACATCTGACACTTGATTTCTCAACCGGTAGTATTGAAAGCTTATTGTCATCGTTCTACAATACATTAAATCTAGCTATTGCTGCATCTGTTCCGATCAAGCAGTGTCGACCTCGAAGCAGGTGTCCCCCGTGGTTTAATAAGACAATTAAATACCACAAGAATAGAAAAAACTCGCTATTCAAAAAATATTCGAAAAGTGTCTCTGCGCTCGACTATGTCGCTTACTCGGTGGCGAGGCATAGATGTAACTACGTCAACCATCATTATTACTGCAGATACCTTCAGTCCATTAAATCCTGTCTGTTTGCTAATCCTAAATCTTCTTTATATTTGTTAACTCTAAAAGAAAAATTTCCACATATCCCTCTCATGTTTCTTTTAATGGCTCTGATACCTCGGATGATTTTGAAATCTCAAATCTATTTTCTGAGTATTTCCGACGAAACTTTTCGATTGCTAAAATCGATTTATCAGCAAACTACCCATATCCTATAACTAACTCGGTTTCAATACCTAACTTGGTTATTTCGGAAGATGATGTTTTCAAAGGGTTGAGTTCTCTAAAATACAGTTAACTTAAATCTTGCGCTGTCGAGTTGTGTGGTGTGATCTCAAAGATTTTTAACAGTAGTTTCCTTATTCCTATCCACAAGAGTGGAAGTAGACAATTTGTTGAGAACTACAGAGGCATAGCCAAGTTAACTGTCTTGCCCAAGTTGTTCGAGCGTATTGTGACTCAGCATTTGGCCTTTGCCATTAATTCGTATATTTCTCCGCACCAGCACGGCTTTCGGAAAGGGCGTTCTACAGTCACCAACTTGTTAGAGTTTACCTGTCATGTTTTCAAAGCTTTTTCTAGTGGCTCTCGCACAGATGTTATTTACACTGATTTAAGCAAAGCATTTGATATGGTTAACCATAGACTACTTATTTTTAAACTCCAAGCCTCTGGTTTCCTACCCTACTTAGTGAAATGGACAAGCTCTTATCTGCACAATAGATCCTTCAGGGTTTTGTTTAACTTCATCACCTCGGATGACTTCCCCGTTACGTCTGGCGTACCTCAAGGAAGTCACTTAGGTCCTATTTTATTTAGTTTATACATTAACGATCTCCCATCGGTGGTTGTTGAATCGCAATCACATCAGCTTCAAGGTGATTTGGATAATTTTGTTGCATGGTGCTCTTTGAATCTTCTGAAACTAAATCTGAGTAAATGTAAGAAGCTTTCATTCTCAAGAAGAAAGTCATTCATTACTCAGTATTTCATAGATTCGCATAAGTTGGAGGACGTCGATTCATTCACAGATTTATGCGTTCTATTTGACCATAGCTTACGTTTTAACTTGCATATTGAGCTCTCGATTAGCAAAGCTAGGTCCGCGCTTGGTTTTATAAAAAGGTGGTCCAAAGAGCTTGATGATCCCTACATTACGAAAAGGCTGTACATGTGTTTGGTTAGACCCAT